GTTAGTGCGCCCGCCGCTTATTAAGCCCAATTTGGTCTGGGCCCGAGGTGGATTTAATAACCGGCGACTACTGTATTGCTAAACATTGTATCAGTGCCTTTGTCCACCAACATTTTCTTGTGAATTCAAAACACCTAATTTTTGTGTGGGCCTTAATTCCCAGAGTTGCCTATATTCACTAGCTGCACGTCATATCCCACTGTTTGTCAAATACAGTCATTAGTGATTCTACTTCCTTTTATTTGATTTTATAATTTACCCCATTGGCTGCACAGGTACTAGCTAAAAGCCCGGACACATGTTTCACTGGTATTCTGCCCTCGATTGACGTTCGAACTCTTCCTTGCAAATATGTTGATTTTACGAATATTATAGATAGGTGTTTCTGGTTGCGCCGTTCCCATGAGTAACCAACATAATGTTTGCCTTCTAGTTACTCACATCCATCGCTGATGCTGGAGTTAAGGTCATAGTTGCTGGTGGCAAGATCAGCGAACTTGCTCTGCACTACGCCAACAAGCTTGGCATTATGTTAGTGCGTCTTGTCAGCAAGTTCGATGTGCGCCGTCTTTGCAAGTCCACTGGAGCAACTCCCCTGCCCACTCTTACAGTTCCAACGGCCGATGAATTGGGCTTCATCGAACATGTTAAAATCGATGAAATTGCTGACACTAATGTTGTTATCTTCGAAAGAGGTAAATGCCATTGTCTACTGCAGCATCTTTGAGTCACTTAGTTCTCTGGAAAAAGCTTTAATCTGCTCCCAATTTTTGCCATTTTTAGGATCAAAGGATGGTGTTATGGTGACCCTCGTCCTGCGCGGCAGCACTGAAAACATTCTGGACGATACTGAGCGTGCCGTGGATGATGGCGTCAATACTTACAAAGCGCTCACGCGATCAAAGAAAGTAGTTGCCGGCGCTGGTGCTTGTGAAATTGAACTGGCTCGCCGTCTTTTGAGTTACGCAGACACCATCCCTGGCTTGGAACAGTACGCAATACGCGAATACGCCCGCTCTTTCGAAATTATTGTGAAGGCCCTCTCTGAAAATGCCGGTGAAAGGGTAAGCTCTGGTTCCCCTTTTGTTATCAACGATGCTATGGGAAATCTGTCCAGTTTTGTATTTTACTTACATTACACTTTATCTATATCATTACTGCATTAAAATAACGGCGATGATGACTATTTTGCTGTCCCCTGTGTGTTTTCTGAAGTTGCGCAATGCTGGCTTCGTCGGAAGTTCCTAAACCCCTGTGCTAGGTAGAAGTAGTGAATATATATATTTGAAGACTCGTGAACCGTCCAATTACTTTAGTCACTCAAAGTCACCACATGCGCTTATTTCTAGGTTTCTTTGTTTTAAACCTGAGGGTAACCATTCACTTTGCTTTTTCATTTCAGGCCACTGAAATAATAGCTGACCTCTACGCCAAGCATCAGGCCGGAGAGATAAACACTGGTTTTGTTACAATGCCGAAGAAGGACCCATCCATTTGCGATGCAGTAAAAGCAGAAGTTCTCGACCTCTACAACACGAAACGATGGGCCATTCGATTTGCATCAAATGCAGCTTGCACGGTTCTTCGTGTTGATCAGGTAGGCATTTTACCGGCTTTTCACTTATTCCAGGAATGGAGCCCCTTCAGTTATTTATCGTGCGTGTGCCGAA